TACCATTTAGCACTTTTCATACATTTTTAGGAACGATTTTCCAAAACCACCTTCAAATCTCAAGGCCAAATTTCAGAAATCAAGCACAATCTATTCACCCACTACTTAATTTAGTACCTTACGTATTTATAGTACGTATTATCAAAAGCACCTACTCATGTTAACCCTACCCACCAGCAGTGACCCAAATATCAACATTTCAAATATTCCATGTATTATTTTTCAAGAACCGAGCTTTATCTCATCCCTACACACCAATATTGACCCACATGTAAAATTTTAAGTTTCTAGCTTCGGTCGTTTGTCTGGGCATTAAATTAATGAAATAATTTCAAAATACACATTTCGAAATGAATTCACTAAAATGGCTGTAACTCATGAATCAATACACATACAAATATACACATATACAAATAAACCTGCGTATTAAAGTCACTTTTCATATGAATTTTACAGAAACAAAATCGGCTACCGCATTCCTTAGAACATAAATGACTAACACAATGCAACTTATATTTATATATAACAAGTAAATTACACATGTGTCTTAAATCTGTGCGCTAGGCAAAATAACATCCACTTTCCATATAAACAAGATCCGCCAAATACTTATAGAACATCGCATCATTTTCAGTCCCATTTAAATTATTTCGCTAGGTTACGCATAATATATTACCAATTAGCATTTGCCTTTCTCATTGAAACAACAGCCTCCTCAATCAATTGCCGACATATAACCAAGTTTTGGCATAATAATAAGAGTGCGAAATTTGTTTTGCGTTTCTTTCATAAAAAACTTGATCAATAAATTTAAAATAAAAAATTCTCATTTGGTATTCTGGAATGTCAGTCTCCTGTACTTTTCTCTTTAAATATATGGTTTCTATGGCAACATTTCTTAATTGTATTCCTGTTTCTTGTTAATTAAGTACTATTTCTGTTAAAATACCATACTGGTTTTTATTTTTCCAAATAGTTTGAATTCGCATATTTATCAATGTCTTCTTTTTTATATTCTATGATAATTTTATATTTTTTTGCGTAACATTTGCATTATTATCACAAAAACACGCATTGCCAGAATGTTGACAAAAAATGGTAAGATATTTAAAGAAAACAAATTTATATTTTTCACTTTTCTTGGATACAATTTAAAAAATATTTTGATTTTTTATCAACAAAAGAAAACCAAAATTAATAAAAAAAAATATACGTTATATCGTATAATATATATATATATATATATATATATGTAAACCTTGTTGTAAAACGTTTGCAAAATTTTGGAATCATAAGTATTTTTTACCGTATTTAGTACTATTGTTTTAAAATGTACCCCTTTTAAGCTCAAAATACAGGTTCCAAATTTTTCAAAATTTCAAGCTTCCAAACTTTGTTTTTTAAAAAATTTCATCGAAATTTTAGCATTAAAATAATGCAAACTGGCAACATGAATTCTCAATGGGTTCTGAGTAAATATAATACTTGATTCCGAAAAAAAGTGTCAGTGGGCCAATTTATAACAGCACAATTTAATTTTGGCTAAATGAAAATAAACAAGTTTCAGCAACTGTGCACTGTTTGGACAAATCATAAGTAAACAAATGAAAAATGAATGAAACCTGAAATATGCATTCAAAATAGCAATAAGTTGCATAAGAGCAGGAGGGTAACGACGTCGAACAAACTTTATTGATTGAATGAATAGATGAGTGAATACGCACATGACTGGACATAAAAATTGCATTGTTGTCATTGGTAATGTTTTCGCAATATTGGCAATTACACGTTGATGTAAAATTTAATTTTGCAATAGTCTGTAAGACTATTTTTGGAAAGTCACTAAGTGTTAATCGTCTTATAGACAATCAATCGATTGTTTTGATTGTTAGAGGTAATATCTGTTGTCATTAGGGCAGTTGTGATTAAAGTCTTTCATATATAAAGAGAAGACCCGCAGAGGGAATTGATCATTTGATAGGCCAATAAATTTCTTTTCTAACTAACGGTCAAGAACTCTTTGGACCAAACACGTGTTAGGACATAAAGGATCCGATCAAGCTATATCAATCTCATTATCCGTATATCTGTGCGCACGATATCTGCAGAAAGGATTGTCCGATTTCATCCATACTTGATACATCGTAATATTTTCAACAATTAAGGGAAGAACAATATCGGTCCAATATTTTGGACAAAAATCAAATCACATATTGAGGCATGTGAGTTCCTGATGTTGGCCCGACTTAGCACCTCGTAATATTTAGATGAGACTTACTCAAGTGCGAGTATGAAGAATATGAGCTCAATAATTCTTGTATCTCCTCCACAAAGACGTTTATCAAACCCCGAGAATCCTAATGTTTTGGTATAATGTAATATATATGGCCTCTCATTCTGGTACCATCAACATAAAAACATAAAATAACCAGTAAAGAAAGTCTTAAAGTCGGGCGGGGTCGACTTTATGATACCCTACACCACTTTACTAATTTAGTAGAGCTCCGCATAACAATTAAATTTTTTTTAATGGGAGAATTCAATCACACACGCTTTGATTATAATTATAATTTAAAGTTCAAAGCACTAAATATGCCGAACCATTTGTATCTTTTAAATTCGGACTTGTATTGCCCATTTGGTTCACAATTAATTTGAAATTGGATAAAAAATATATATGGCAGCTATATCCAAATCGGAACCGATCTCGATAAAATTTTGCAAAGATATTTCTGAGCTGTATTTGATATATTTCCCTGAATATCTTTGTTACGGAGTGCATATTACGGCTGTGGGTAACAAATATAACAAATCGGAAGAACAGTATATATGGGAGCTATAGCTATTTCTGAACCGATTTCGATCAAATTTGCCATAGTTATTTTCAGGCCTAATTTGGTTGTATGTGCAAAATTCCATACTATTCGAGTTGATATTACACGTTTGATGCACAATAAAAGGCAAATCGGACGAAGATATATATGGGAGCTATATCTAAATTTTGACTGATTATCTCCAATTTCAATAGGGTTCGTCCTTGGGCCAAACAAATGATTTGTGCAAATGATTTCAGAATGTGATTCTATACAGATCATCAAAAGGAACTATGGGTCTATCTCGTTTCCTTTTGCCTGTTGCAAACAAATGCACAAAGACATAATACCACGACCACCTTGTGGTGTAGGGTATAATCATAAATGATATGACATGAGTAACGAAGTACTCAATGTAGTTAAAACTTGGTACATTATAATACTTTGATAACAGAAGAAAGAAGAAGGAAATGTAGTATTTCAAAAAATTCCATTAAAAAATGTGGCTAAGATCATCATAATATCGAAAATGTGGGAGGAGGGGGTATCGTTATATGGAGGCTATACGATATCGCATAGAGTAAAACCGAATAAAGATAGGAAGCTAAAATTTTGAACAGATCAGTCTTTTGTCTGCAGGCAGCTCAAGTTCGAAAATGGACTATGTCGATTCACGATATCGTATAGCCCCCATAAAACGGTACCACCCGATATGCGGTATTTTGATAATTTTAGGCAAATTTTTCAGTAAAATTGTCTGAAAATCCACAAAAGGAATTCCATCTGAGTCATTTACCCAATGGAAGAATATTTTCTATATAGGTCCACGATATCGTATACTCCCCATATTCGGTACCTAACTATATTCGGTATTTTTATGATTAAGCTACGCTTTTCGATGGAACTGTCCAAAAATCCATACTAGAAGTTCTTTCTAAGAATTTAAGCCCTTGGAAGAGATTTGTCTATATGGGTCCACGATATCGTATATCCCCCATATAACGGTACGTCGCAATATTCGTATTTTGATTATTTTAAAGACATTATTCATCGGAGTTGTTTCAAATTTCGTATTTAGAGTTCGTAATTGGAACTACATTCTATGCTAGAAAATTTTCTATGGAGGTCCAGGTCTTCGTATGGGCCCCATACACCAGTGCCTCCCTATATTCGGTATTTTGACGACTAAGCTACATTATTTACCGGATTTTTTTTTCAAGTTTTGTATTTGAATATTGTAATGGCTTATGACAAAAATTGCCTACGTAGGACCACGTCTTCGTATAGACCTGAATATAACGGCTACATTCGGTATTTTTAAGATTTTAACAGAATTTTTAAAGGAATTTATTTATTTATTTCTTTTTTTAAGTTTCCAAATTTATTCCATATGGTGGAGAGAGTTCGACACGGCCGAGCTTACAGCTTTTTTATTTCTTTTACATTGCATTTCTCATAAATCCATTTCATTTTACTGAAACATTACAATTGGATGTCCGATTTTCTATATTTCGACTACCTTTTATCATAAGGAGTTTAATTCAAAAAAAAAAAAAAAAAAAACTTTTTTTAAGAGCCGAAAGAAGACCACATTGATCAAAGGTCAACATTAACTACATGAAAAGCTTTAAAGAGCAAATCAAATTATATTCAATTTTAAACTCTGGCCAAAATTTTTCCCCCAATTTAAATAAACTAGATTTGATTTAACATTTAAAAATGCGGAAAATATAAAAATTTTATTCTTCTTGAAAAAAATCCAATTCCTCGTGTAATGCTATCTGCCGACTTCATGATTTTAAATTTTGTTTTGCACCACAGCATTTCCGATTCTTATATCAAACAATTATTTTATTGAGTTAATTTAATTTTTTTTTATTATTTTTTTTGCACTTCACAAATTATTTTATTTTTTTTTTTTTAATTGTAACTTAACAAAAAATGATATGGTGCCATTGACCCTGATGATTTATTTATTTAAAATTTTACAAGTCTTGGAAATCTTTGACATTTTAGACATTGTTTCGATTGCTTTAATTTTCATTCTAATGAGATTTCTTCACACACTCACACACACGCGTTTTCGGAAAGTGTTTAAATCAAATTTCAGTTTAATTGTCTATGAATTATTCATGAATTTCTTTTTCTAGTTTTTAATCAATCGAATTAATTTTGTTACTTTCTCACCTGCCCATTTTCCGTATTTGTCGACCAATGTTGTTGGTAGCTGAGGTTGGAAGTATGGCTGGAGCAAAGATTTGATAATGGAAATCACAGATATAAAATTATCGTAAATAAATACGGCCAGAGCCCATATTCCGACAAAATAAATGAAACCGGAAAGCAAAGGCAACATGTCGAACACGAATAACATTGCAAACTACGGGGTGTTGATTTGAAATGTATTTTTTAGCGTTAAGGGGAGCACAATTTTGTTTAGTTTTATAGCAACAAAAACACTCTGCTGTGGGTTATCTTCATGCAACTGATAGCGAAAATTACAAAAATAAAAACACAGAGGTCGGTCACTCGATTAACGCCGTTTCTTATCAATTGATGATTATGTTTTTTTCAATTTTTTGTACAATCACAATGATCGGTAGTATTTTTTTAGTTTGATCAAATTCCAACAAACAACAACAACTCTTTCCAAAAATTTACATTGGTTTTTTTTTTTTTTTTTTTGATACAAGAATGCAATTTTTTGTTTATTTTCAATTCAATTTACACATTTGAACACACACAATTCCAACACTTGTCTCTTGTATCAACCGTTCACGAGCCTCTTGAATTTCGCACTGAATTTCAATTCGAATTGTTTATTTGGTTTCCATGCTTCATCACTTTCGATCGCACGCCGATCCAACTAGGTTCGCTTGCTGCAAATGCTGTTGCGGTAATGGGTTTGAATCAAGCCAGGTTTGACAATGAAGACTTAAGCCATGCAGGCATGGTTGATGTTATCAGACGGCCAAACAAAGCAACCAACTACAATGTCAAGCTTATGTTGTGTCTTTAACCTTTTTTCGGTTTTAAAATGTGTATGATACGAACATGTACGTCCGATGAAAAGAAGCTTAGCTTTGTCGAGATAAAGAAACTTATTTATAAAATGTAACGGTTTTAACTTTTATTTATATCATTTTCGGTTTGTTGTCCTCCTCCTCCTTTTCTTTCTTCATCAAGGCTATAAGAATTATTTACAGTTTGTTTGAAACTGGTTTGTTCCCTGTCACCCAGAGTTGAATATGTAAGCGATTACACGAATTAAAATTATATACTAATTTAAATTTAAATATAATAAAATTTAATTAAATTCCTCACAATAAAATGAAGGGTATACAATTTATTCCGAAAATATTCGTTGGATACACAATAAAGTATATATATTTATGATCAGCGTAAAATGTCTTCCGTCTTTTCATCAGTTTAAATCACAAAATACAACGGAATGTAACCTTTCGGATTGTCAGTGGGTAGTTTAACACCTCCTAAAAATAATCAATATAGGTGCTGATTTTAGAAAATTTTCGATTTACTCCCTAAAAAAACTCAATAAGGGTGTAGTTTTCTCTGTAAGAAGTTCATCCCAATCAAAATTAATGTAATTTGAATTTTTTTTAAAAATTTACACTTTGAAAATGTTAGGATTTAAATCGTGATATTGAAATAAAACATTTTGTAACAATCGATTTTATATGGTCCTGTCTTTGCTTCCTTGTTATTTTATAACTTAGTTTCACTGAAAGTCAGGACCCTTCGGCATAAAAATCCTAGCCGTTTTGATCATTTACGTCTTTGTGATTTGAGGTGGATGTTTACACAAATTCAAGCAAGTGATATCGAATAAACCTGTAAATTTTAAATATTTTCAAAGGAGACCGTTTGGTTGTTTGAAAATTAAAACAAGTTAGAGGTATCATTCGATTCTACCTCAACCTATGTTACCTAACACACAATTATTCCCTCAGCCATATGGCTACAGAGGGTCTATATTATTTGATACATCCAAAACGTGCCTCATCGAAATAATGGGTTTAGACACTAGATCTCTTTGGACCAAATCCGTTTCAGAACATTTGGAGTAGATCTGGCGATGTCCGCCCGTACTTCTGTCCGTCTGCTGACTGGTGCGCACGATAACTCTCGAATGGAGTATCTGGTTAGATCTAAACTTGGTACATCGTTATATTATTTTCAAACTTAGATCGAGTTTGAAAATGGATCGGTCCACTACTTCTGGTTGTAATTTCCAAAAATATTATACTGCACAGAAAGAGAAAGGGTAATCCGATTTGCTTCAACTTTGCAAATCCTAATATTAATATAATGTTAGGTCGGGTGTGAAAATAGACAATATTGGTCCACTCCATCAAGTAACTCCCCCACGATTGGCAAAATTTTACAAATCCTAATATTTGCATCAATGCTAGGTCGGGTGTGAAAATAGACAGTATCGGTTCCACTCCATTGAGAACCTCCACAACGAAGGCCAAATTTTGCATATACTAATATTATTTACTATATCTGTATACTCCATCAAGTACCTCTCCCACGAAGGCAAAATTTTGCACATCCTAATATTTGCATCAATGCCAGGTCGGGTGAAGGGTCAAAATTTTGAATAATTATAACTCTTATAAAATGTGATGTAAGATCTGATTGTCTTCAAATAACACACATTACAATATTTATATTAACTCAAGGTCTAGTGTAAAGATGGAATATTTCGGACCACTCCTTGTGGTACCTCCCCGACAAAGGGCCAAAAATTGAAGCTAATAAAACGCGATTCTATTCAGACTTGGTACATCTCAATATTTCTATCAACGAAAGATTTGTTATATAGATGGTAGAGACCGGACCATTGCTTCTGGTACCTCGCCCATATGGGGTTTATGATTTTGAAAAACAAAACTCTCATAAAAATAGAAATAAGCATCCAACTTCTTTCAAATTTCAAACATTTTTGCTTACCTAATTATGAGACAAATATTGCGAAGGAGTCGACCGATATGTTTATTCCTCGAACTCAATATGCCATATATTTGGCTAGATTCCAATATTAATACATGTTTCGATATAAACCAGTTTTGCCATATTTTATTCTCATAGGGGTGCTCACATTAATTTTCTGAAATTGTGTACTTTTCGTTTGTAAATGGTACCAGAGTGTCTCCCAAAGTTTTTTGATATTCTTAATACTTCTGACTTGATTCCAAACTTTAGGGATTTGGAAGAAAGTATTATCGTATTTAAATTCATCAATTCGTACTTGCTTGCCTCATTATTTTTGTGCATTAGCGTGATATTTATCATTCTTGTAGAAAATCTACATCTCTATTATGTTTTTGTCATTTGAAGGTGTTTGGCAACTTGATATATATTGTCGGTCACCGATGTATTCATTTCATATTTGAAAAAAATTATAGCTTATATTTTTGTAAGGGATGGCTGGACGATGATTCTTGTTATCGATAAGTTTGTTATTTTGCTTGTGTATGTTGAGAGGAAAGTTCCTCCAAAAAGTTGACATGGGTTTGTGTCCACGATAAACAGTGATGCAGATTTGTAGTTATCAAAAATACGTTGCTATTGGTAGGTGTAGATTTCAAGAATAAAATGAAAACCCTTTTTACAATGTAAGAAAAAAAAAACAATTAAAAAAGCAGTATGTTCGGACGGGTCGAATTTTAAGTACCCTCCTCTATTTGGAATTAATTTGGAAATTCCGAAAAATAAATAAAATTTGTTCAAAATCCTGTTAAAATCTTAAAAATATTATATTGGGGTCTACACGAAGACGTGGACCTGCATAGGCAACTTTTGTCATACGCCATTACAATATTCAAATACGAAACTTGAAAAAAAAAAAAACATCCAGTGAATAATTTAGCTAAAATCGTTACATACATGGGGCCTATACGAAGACCTGGACCTGCATTGACAATTTTTTGTCATAGACTCTAGTGCCCATTAGGGACTTCAAATACAAAATTTGAAAAAAATTCCGGCGAATAATGTTCCTAAGATCATCAAAATACGTAATATGGGGAGGTACCGATATGTGGGGGCTATACGAAGATATGGACCTGCATAGACAATTTTCTGTCATTGACTGTAGTATCCATTTGTAACTTCAAATATGAAATATATGTATCAAATATACCATCAAAACACATATCATATCAGGGTGTACCGTTGTAGGCTTATATGATATTGTGAATCTATATAGACAATTATTTTCATACAATTCGATTAAAAAATGTAGCTAAAATCATCAAAATACCGAATATATGGAGACCTTTATAAGCAATACTCTTCTAGGGGTGAAGAATTCAGAAGGAACTTCTTGTGGATTGGCAGACAATTCCATTGAAAATTTTGGCTACAATCATCAAAATACCGAATATAGGGAGGTACACTTATATGCGGATATACGATATCGTGGACAATACAGTACGTACGTGGACAGACAATACTCTTCCAGGGTGTAAAGTACTCAGAAGGAACTCCTTGTGTGGATTTTCAGACAATTCCATTAAAAAAATTGGATACAATCATAAAAATACCGAATATCGGGAGGCACCGTTATATGGAGCTATATAATATTGTGGACTGAAAAGACTGATCTATGCAAAATTTTAGCTTCCTATCTTAATTGGTTTTGACTCTTTTAACTTCTTGAAAGACAAGGATATATATAATTTGCTAGGTCTCCAATTATTATTTCGATGAGTTACAAACGGAACAACGAACTTAATATACCCTCCAGACTATGTATGGTGGATGGTATAAAACTGTAGAATTTATTGAATTTACGACATCGATCAAAAATATTCATAATAGAAGCAAGACATTTCAAAAGCAAATAAATTAAATACAATGTTTTCCATATTACTTTTGTCATTAAAAATTCTGGCAATTAAAAACTAATGCATTATTGTAATAACAGTAACACGGAGCAGATATTGTATCTTGTATCGCCATATTTTAATAGTGCTTTTACTTTTTATACCCTAATTTACATGAGAACGTTCCTTCCTCTTGGTTTAGAATTTAATCGTCATTTTCCAATGGGAATCAACAAGAGTTATTATTTCAAAACAATACAAGTTTTATTGGTTCTACTTAAATATTATCGTTAAAACTTATTTATACATATATAACCATTACTATGTCCGTATTAAGGTTTACCCACCATGAACCGATAAGAAGCTACAACCAATGATCTTACTTGAGATGAAAACAATCACAGTTTCTGTGATAATCCATATTTTCTTCTTATATCATCCTCATTGATATTTGTTGTGTCATCAACAGTTATTTTGGCCAACTTTATTATTAATTCGCTTCTCCATCGGGTAGGGATCAATTTCAAAACAGTTGTCTGAAAGAGAAATTATAAATCAATAATGGAGTCTTTAACCAAATACTTCTCCACTCACCTGTATGCCATGCCAAAAGTAACCAGTACTGGACCTGGTCTTACCAAGCGTATTAACAGCCCATTTGGCATAATCTTCGGGCGAGGGAACTATTAAATTCCCCTTCAATAGCCACGAAGAATATTTATTGATTTTGGTCCTAACACCAGCCGGCGATAACAACTGGACGGTGATGCCAAACGATTCAACTTCGAGTTGGAGGGCCTTTGTAAAACTTGCAATGTAGGCTTTTGTAGCACCATAAACTGAACCATAAGGACAGGGTTGCATTTCCAGTATTGATGATACATTCACAAGGCATCCTGTCACCCCTTGCCGTAGCCATAAGTTGACAAAGTGTCGAGATAGCTGAGTGA